AAATATGGAATAAAGACATCAGTGTCTCTTTGAAAAATGTTCTATAGCAATATATTGATTCTAAAATATATCCACCATGGAGAAGATAGAGATGCAAAACTGAGTTCAGAGGTTTGCAAACCACTTCATAGCTATGGCTACAAATAGCATGGATGTGGCTAGGTCCTGATGTGGTCACTGCATTTTTTTTGTGGGGGGGGTGGGAGTGATAAGAAAACTGTTAATGTAAGATTAGTATAATGTGAATGTTTGAATGTAATTTTGTGTAATGCCTGTGAATGTAACCTGATTCCTTTAGCAAAGAGTGTATTGACACTGAAAGGGTTAATCAGTCATGCTTCTAATGAACTGTGAAGATGTGACCCTGAGCATGCCTGGAACGCACAGGGAGGATCCTGAGATAAGGTTTCGTTCATCCTTCTTACTTCGGTGTGTCTTTTGTCTTGTTCCTGTCTGTTTGGTGAATGTGTGTTGTATATTTGCTCTGCTCTGTAAAGCTAAATGTTTGCTTTTACTGAAGTCTCAAAGTGTCAATTCTTCTAACCTCCAAAAGTTCTGTCGCACTCTGACAAAAACATTGTCTGAAAATCAGTGTTACCACTGGGCAACACACATTTGTTCCAAACATGGCACTAGTTTATTTATTTATTCAAACTTATATGCCACCACTTCCCTGGGGCTTGGAGCGGCTTACAAGAATGGCTAAAATCTAATACAATTTAAAAACAGCAATATCAATATCAACAATATCAAAAGTCAAAGGCCTGTCGAAACAGGTATGTCTTACATGCCCTGCGGAAAGCTGATAAGTCCCTCAAGGCACAGACTTCAGGTGGCAGAGTATTCCAGAGTGATGGTGTCACTGCTGTAAAGGCTCTGCGTCTGGTTGCTGTTAGACGCAAGGTCTTGACACTGGGAATTTCTAACAGATCTTTGTCCTCAGAATGGAGGGATCTCTGGGGTTGGTAGGGGGTGAGGCGGTCCCTCAGGCCCCAGACCATGCAAGGCCTTAAAGGTGAGTTCCATCACTTTGAAAGTGATCCAGTGCTCAATTGGTAACCAATGCAGCTGTAGTAAGATTGGTGTTATGTGGCATCTCATTGGAATTCCCGCAAGAAGCCGAGCAGCTGCATTTTGTACCAACTTGAGCTTCCGGATCAGCGACAGAGGAAGGCCAATGTAGAGGGCGTTACAGTAGTGCAGTCTTGAGATGACTATAGCCTGGATCACCGTAGCTAGGTCGTCCCTGGACAGGTAGGGGGCCAGCCGTCTAGCCTGCCACAGATGAAAAAAAGCGGTTCTGCTAATGGCGGAGACCTGGGCCTCCATCGTCAGCAGAGGGTCCAAAAGGACTCCCAGACTCTTTACCAATGATGACGGGCATAGCGCCTTGCCATCCAGGGTAGGCAGCTGGATATCCCCACTGCCCGGTCGACCCAGCCATAGGATCTCCGTCTTTGCTGGATTCACCCTCAACCTGCTGGCACGCAGCCATCCAGTAACGGCCTCGAGGCACTGATGGAAATAATCAGGTACAGAGTCTGGTCGGCCTTCCATCTTCAGCACCAGCTGAGTGTCATCAGCGTACTGGTAACACTCAAGCCCAAAACCTCGAACCAGCTGAGCAAGTGGTCGCATATAGATGTTAAACAACAGAGGGGAGAGAATGGCCCCCTGAGGAACCCCACAAGATAGAGGGGACCTCTCAGAGACCAGGCCTCCCCTCTCCACTCGCTGTCCACGGTTGTGAAGAAAGGAGGACAGCCAGTTTAAAGCTGTCCCCCTGACTCCAGCAACAGCAAGGCGGTGGGTCAAAAGATTGTGGTCGACTGTGTCAAATGCTGCTGTGAGATCCAATAACACAAGCAGCGCTGACCCGCCCTGGTCAAGCTGGCATCGAAGGTGATCCGTGATGGAGACCAGCACAGTCTCTGTCCCATGCCCCGCACGGAAGCCGGACTGGAAGGGATCTAGTCCGGCTGTGTCGTCTAGGAATTGCTGCAACTGCTCCGCTGCTGCCCTCTCAATCACCTTGCCCAGGAACGAGAGGTTCGAAACTGGGCGGTAACTGGAGGGAACCGAACAATCTAAGTCTGGTTTCTTCAGCAGGGGAGAGACCACCGCCTCTTTTAAACCCTCTGGAAAAACTCCTTGCTCAAGGGAGCTGTTTATAATCTTCAACAGAGGGTCACGTAATCCCTCCAAGCAGGATTTCACCAAGCAAGAGGGACACGGATCGAGGGAGCAAGTGGTCAGTCTAGCTGAAGCTATGAACCTATCAACAGCCCCTGCATCCAGCAGGATGAACCGGTCGAGGATGGGCCCAGCAAGTGGCCACGGAGTCTCAAGTTGTCCCCTATCAGCTCTAGTTTTTGAGATACAGACTGTATGCCACTTACATCACCCAGGTGATGCAGTCTATCCAATACAATTTTCTGAATCAGTGTCCTAAACTAATATACCAAGAAAATATTTTCTGTTTGGCTGTATATTCTTTTTAAGCTTTGGGAGACCCCGGGGTTGCCAAGGGAGCTCCACATTTAGCTCACAAGCCTCACATTTCCTATGAGCTACCAAGGAGTTGCCGTTCTGGGAAATTGAATTTTGTAGCTTTTAACAAGGTGCTTCCTGTTTGGTGTCAATAATATAAAGAAAAGTATATGTGTGTCTATCTATCTATCTATCTATCTATCTATCTATCTATCTATCTATCTATCTATCTTGTTCCAGGAGCGGCTTGAGAAACTGCAAGGGGATATATGAGGTTATAAGAGTTAGAGAAAGAGAAGATGGTAAGGTAGTTGGGAAATGTGATTTTCCTGGACATTGTTTCGATGTCCAGGAGTAACTTCTGGTTGAACTTTTGGTTTTGGGCAGGCTAGACAGGCCCTTGAATGACAGTATAATTATGGAGCCCTATGGCCTGCTCCAGGACGTCTAGAGAATGTCCAGGGACTTCCATTTTTACCCCACTATGAAAATTTGAGGACTGTACCAGAGTTTCAGCAAAGCTCCAGAGTTTCAGCAAAGCTCTAAAGCTCCACACTGCACTCTTGTGTTACTGTCAACAGCTAGACTCTAATGTGAACCGGGCCACTGTCCCTATGGCCCAGCAGGATCATGCCCCTTCCCTGCACTCTGATAATTGGGGCTCTGTCACAGTGGCAGCTGGCTGGAGAATTTTGGAGAGCTCATGGCCATTGGCAATCACCTTTACTGATATCAGCGAGCCACATGCATGACCAAGGAGAAAGAGTGGGTGCTTTTATTGATGTCAGCAAAGATGTCAGGTAAAAGCCAGGCATTTTCTGGAGCTCTCTGGTTAGCTTCATTGCTGACAGGGACAACTAGCCAGTTAAGGGTGAACATCCAGAAGAGCCAAATTGGTTTTGTCTCACTGGATGATATAGAACACAGATAAGCAGTGTATCCACCTCTGAAGTCAAGCTGTAGTATTGCTGCTGCAGACCACTCTCAGAGTAAGGACCTCATCGCATAGATAATCTGCCATCCTCCATGGTGAATCGGTGGGACAGCGGGGCAATCCCAGTAGCCCACATGTTGCCTCACCCACATCTGACAATGCCGAGGCACCTAATTTTACCACAAAAAACTGGGAAAAACATATTGACTCGTGTATAAGCCGAGGGTGAGAAATGCAGCTGGTACTGGTTAATTTCAAAATTAGATATCATAGCAAACTAGCTGGCAGACAGGCTGCATACGCAGAGAACAGGAGAGCAGAGAAGCTGCGTGCGGGGCAAGTGAAGGGGAAACGGAGTATGTACCTCCCTCCCTGCACGCCATGCCACGTACGCACGCATGCCTCCATTTCTTCCCCACTCACCGCGCATGCAGCCACTTTTCCTTCCGCGCACACAGCAAGACAAGCAGGGAGGAGGTGCACACCTCTGTTTCTCCCCCAATTCGCCATGCACGTGCCCTCTGCTCTCCGCATAGCAACCCAGCTGGGTTGCTGTTTGGAAAGTAAGACAGGTTGCGCACAGGGTGAATGGGGGAGAAATGGAGGTGTGCACCTCACTCCCTGCATGCTTCCATTTCTTCCCCATTCAGTGCACATGCAGCCTCTCTTCCTGCTTGTCTTGCTGTGTGTGCACAGGGCGAATGGGGGGAGAAACGGAGGAGTGCACCTCCCTTCCTGCACGTCTTGCCGTGCGTGCATGCATGCCTCCATTTCTTCCCCATTCAATGCGCATGCAGCTTCTCTTCCTTCCGCGCACACAGCAAGACAAGCAGGGAGGGAGGTGCATGCCTGTTTCTCCCCCCATTCACCGTGCACGCGCCCTCTGTTCTCCGCATAGCAACCCAGCTGGGTTGCTGTTCGGAAAGCAAGACAGGTTGCGCACAGGGTGAATGGGGGAGAAACGGAGGTGTGCACCTCACTCCCTGCACGCCTCCATTTCTTCCCCATTCAACGCGCATGCGGCCTCTCTTCCTGCTTGTCTTGCTGTGTGTGCACAGGGCGAATGGGGGGAGAAATGGAGGAGTGCACCTCCCTTCCTGCATGTCTTGCCGTGCGCGCATGCATGCCTCCATTTCTTCCCCATTCAATGCGCATGCAGCCTCTCTTTCTTCCGCGCACACAGTAAGACAAGCAGGAAGAGAGGCTGCATGCGTGTTGAATGGGGAAGAAATGGAGGCGTGCGTGCATGTGTGCGTGCATGGCAAGATGTGCAGGGAGGGAGGTGCACGCCTCCGTTTCCCCTTCACTTGCCCCACGCGCAGCTTCTCTGCAGATGCAGCTGTGGGGGCGAAGACAAGGGCAGGGATTCCACCAGCCAGTGTCAGAGCCTTTTTTTCTCAGCTTTTTCTCCTTCACCCGAATATAAGCCGAGGGGGGCTTTTTCAGCTCTCTAAAAGGGGCTGAAAAACCCGGCTTATATTCAAGTATATACGGTAATTAAGTTTTTCCAACCTTATTGATAATTACATTTATGCAGTAACCCTATTCTACTAACACTCTCATTTCCATTCCACTATTAGTTTAATACTTTACCTTTTTGATACTTGGAGAAACTGGCTTGCAGGGCGTTTAGCTGTCCCTCAAGGGCAATCACTCGGTTTTTCAATAGATTGACCTCTGCGGAAGGATAGAGTAATCAACATCTGGAAGAAATAGTACTGTAGCATCCTGAGGTGGTAAATATATTTTTCACATTGCTGCCTCAACACATTTTTGTTTGTTTAAATTGCAACATTCTTACACACACAATACATATAGCAATCTAGGCGTATATTCCAATCCATCTTTACAGGCAAAATGTACCAGCAAATTAAACAATTTCTGCCTGTTTTCCAATGGTAGGGCTTGTCATGCTTGAACATCTATGTGTTTGCTATCTTTCGAATAAAACTTTTGTACCTTGGAGATACACATTATCCATGATTCCAGATATTCAAGTGATATCTACACTGGGATCTATAATTTTACTGATGAAGCTGTACATAAGTCTATTATCAATGGAGTGGAACAGTTTTTTAAAAAATTGTTAGGCCTTGCAGAGAATATAAGTTACAACTTGTAAGCCAATCTCTTTCATTCAAATTCTGTAAAGCACCTGAGTTTCAAAGGGCCAGTATTTAACGTTCCCCCAAGTATTTTCCTTAGATGTTAAAGATATCCCACTTAATCTTACCTGAGAGACCACTGTCACCCTTTGTCCCCTTTTCTCCCATAGAGCCTTTATCTCCTTTTGATCCAGGAGGGCCTGTCCTCCCCTCAGGTCCTTGTGGTCCTGTTGCTCCTTGTAACCCTGTGTAAGAGTTTTAAAAATTAAATGAAGAAACTATATAAACTATTCAAGAGTCCTTGTTAGGATTGTCCATTCCATTGTATTTCCCATGTCTATATATGGTTGTGAAAGTTGGATAATGAAGAAAACTGACAGAAAGAAAATCAACTCGTTTGAAGTGTGGTGTTGGAAAATAGTTCTAAAGTTACCATGGACTGCGAAAAAGCCTATTTAATAAGTCCTAGAGAAATCCAAGCCTGAACTCCCCCTTGCAGTGCCACTATAGTGTAAAATTGATATAGTTTGACTCTACTTTAACTGCTGTGACTCCATGCTAATGAAATCATGAAGGCTGTACTTGCCAAATTACAAATCCCAGGATTCTATAACACTGACACCGTGACTGTTAATGACTGTTAATCTGACATCAATGGTCTCACCATAAGTCAAAATCAACTTGACAGAAGCAAACAACAGCAAATTCTATAGCTAGATTGTTGTTAGCTCTACATATAGAAAATAAGAGACTGGTCTTCTGTGTATTTGTCAATTCTGATTTGCATATTTATTTAAAGTCCTCAAAGCTAATTACTACATTCAAATGACTGCAAATATCATCATCTAGTGACATATTTTCAAATACCTACTTTGCTTTCTTTAGTCTGTCCTAAAGTTTTCTAGATCACTAAATGTGCTTGATCCGAGGAATAACACAGCCTATTAAAAATCTTGGTGTCTTGGTTTTCAGGCCTATTTCTGGGGTTATTTGGGACACTGACTCAGAAAATTGCATTGGATAGATCACATCATGGTTACTGTGATTTTTTTATGGGTGAGCGGATTGTGACTGGTATATGGGATATATTTTGTATCTCAAAAACTAGAGCTGATAGGGGAAAACTGGTGCCATTTTTCAAATCAACCAGTCAAATATACCTAGAAGCTGGGCTAACATTTGAGGCACCAAAATGTTTAGTTGGCCAATTATTTGTAATATATTGGAGATGTAAAATATATTAACTAAAGTATTTACCTTTGATGTAATAGTATATTTTTATCACTTACCTCTGGCTCCTACATCTCCTTTTGATCCCTTTTCACCCACTGGTCCTCGATCTCCTTTGGGGCCAGGAGCACCTTGCGGACCTTCGGCTCCAGCATTTCCTTTGGGACCTGCAGCCATATTTATCGGGGGAGGGAAGGAAATCACTCCAAATGAGAGATACTTTCTAATAGTCACAGGGGAAAAAACTAAGTAAATTATCTCAAATTAATTGAGGTTCAGATAGATAAAATGGTTAGCTTTATTGTTTCAGACTTCTCCAAGCTGGTGCCTTGCAGATGTGCTGGACTACAGATCCTATCACTTCTAAATAGCATGGTCACCGGATGTCATTAGGGATATAAAAGCTATTAACACATATTTCCCCCTTTAGACAGAAATGAAGGCTCAGCACATCAGACACCCTAAGAGAGAACAGCTAGTCTTATGTGATTTTTTTTTCACCCTCTGTAAATTGTTTGAGAAATTTCATTTGTAAAAACTTGTTTTTACACAAAAATTGTTTTACAAAGTAAGCGATGTTTGCACATGAAACAAGGTATTTTGCAAAAAACAAAAAAAACCCTAATGACAAAACACAGCTCCTGTGTCTAGATTCAAGTTTATTTTTTATTAATAAACGGGTGAGGGGGGGGGGAGAGAAGACTCATATATGTATACACAAAAATGGGGGGCAACCATTGCCATATTCCTGGTCACTGAAAGAAACCTGAACTATATAAAATATGTGGTAGCTTACTGATCTAAGAAAACCTTTTTAAAATCTACTACATGATATGAAAGTTTCAGGTCCAGAAATTTCAGAGTTTAAATTTCAAATTTGTATGACTATGTACAGAGCATTAAAAAGATAAAGGTTTTCCCCTGGCATGAAGTCCAGTCATGTCCGACTCTGGGTTGTGGTGCTCATCTCCATTTCTAAGCTGAAGAGCCAGCGTTGTCCATAGACACCTCCAAGGTCATGTGGCCGGCATGACTGCATGGAACGACGTTACCTTCTCACCGAAGCGGTACCTATTGATCTATTCACATTTGCATGTTTTCGAACTGCTAGGTTGGCAGAAGCTGAGGCTGGCAGCGGAAGTTCATGCCGTTCCCCGGATTTGAACTTGTGACCTTTCAGTCAACAAGCTCAACAGCTCAGCGGTTTAACCCACTGCACCACCAGGGGCTCCCGTGTACAGAGCATAGGCTGTGTAAAATGTAACAATATTTTCATTCAAAATGTGTTGTGCTTTTTGCTAATAAATCATTTCTCTATTAAGCACCTTGAGGCATGACTCCATTTTCTTTTACTAATGAATAATGCACATATGATACACTTGCTGGCAAGTTAAGATATCCCTTGATGGTTTGGGTAGTTGTCTACCCCAGAGTCAGTTCCCCAGAATTAAATACACTAAGTGGAACTCAGAATGTATGTATCAATAAAAATTGAAAGATTTTCTGGAAATACAGTCATCCCTGTGACACTGGTCTCCAAATACTAACCTTTAAGCATAACCTATTATTGTTTCAACATCTAATTAAGTCTGCAATTGTATATTCTTTTGAGGAGGAGTTATATTTATAAAACCTTTCAAGTGCAACATCTCAGAAATTTCATGGTTTGCAGTATTCTAATTTCTTTACTAACTGACGTTAGAACCTTTGGAGTTTAAACCCAGAGTGAAGAAGGTATAATCTAAGAGGCAAATGCAATCCCCAACCCCATCCCTAAAAAATAATGGTAAAATTATGTTTTAACTATATATATGTTAAATTATTTCTAATTAAAATTTTCACTTTTACATTTACCAAAGTTCTTGTGTAGTATTTAAATGTCTGTATAATTTTAAGCAGTGTTAGACAACTTGAGTCACATTGTTGGGAGTAATGTGTGATATAAATGAATATATTAAATGAATATAATCACTACTACCACCACCACCACCACCATACTTTGTCTATTTCTTAAGGAGAGGGAAAATTCATGTTCTGGAAGGACAATGTCCTCATGCACCCTCTTTGGCCAAGGAAGAGGAAGAAAGTGGAGCACTGAGAGAAAAATCCACAGTAGAGTACCAAAAACAAAGATTGGAGCTTGGAACACATACACTATAGTCAGCCCTCCACATTCACTGGGATTAGTGGTACACAACTCCCATTAAAGCAAAAAATTGTAAATAAAGACAATGTTATTTTTTCACCAGAAAGAAAAATACTATTTTTATGAGGAATTTCATTACATTAATATTTACTGAAAATTATTTTTAATGACTACAATTAATTATTTTTAATCAGTTTAAAAATATTCAACATTCCAGTTAACAAAAGAAATAAGGAAAAACCTGAAAATGGTCCTCAACCTGACTATAGTTGCTTATCTCAGTACAGACCATCACAAAGTTATATTTTTCCATACCTTGTTTTCCCCTTTCTCCCTTTGGTCCTTGGAGTCCATCTTTCCCATCTGTCCCTGGTAAGCCTCTCTCAGCTGGTGCACAAACAACCAGTGAACAGGCATTCCGGTGCCAGGTCTGTACAACTTGCTGTGTTACTGGCCTGGGAGTTCTTGCCGGAGATACACACAAAACTAAAGCACAAAATGTTAGAAGCTGCAACATTGCTTTGTGGTTTACTCTGTGGAAAGAATTGAAAGCAGAGAAACGAAAAAGTTAAGACATTCTTAGCTTATGCAAACTAATTTGCCTTGCACTTCAGTGAAATGAAAACTAGCTGTTGACTTGCACTGACTTTCTAGTTTTATTGGAAAAAAAATGCTTTTTGAATGATAATTCCCAGAACACCCAACTAGTGACTATTGCTGTTTTAGAATTTGAACATATGCAGACCAAAAGAAACAACATTTTTCCCCCCAATGTTGCCTAAAAGAGCTAGGGAGTGGACTCCATTTTTTGTACACTCTAGTGCAGGGGTCCTTGAACTAAGGCCTGAGGGCCGGATACGGCCCTCCAAGGTCATTTACCTGGCCCTCGCTCAAGGTCAACCTAAGTGAAACGACTTGAAAGCACACAACAACAACAACAACAACAATCCTATTTCATCAGCCAAAGCAGGCCCACACTTCCCATTGAAATACTAAAAAGTTTATATTTGTTAAAATTGTTCTTCATTTTAATTATTGTATTTTTTTAAAGTGGGTTTTTTCTTTTTGCACTACAAATAAGATACACGCAGTGTGCATAGGAATTCATTCTTTTTTTTTCACATTATAATCCGGCCCTCCAACAGTTTGAGGAACTGTGACCTGGCCCTCTTCTTAAAAAGTTTGAAGACCCCTGCTCTAGTGCAAAGAATGGATGAATTGACTTTTTTGTTGAAGAAAAATACAGGTATGATACTAAGAAGAACGAATTGGGATAATCTCCATGAATATCTGGACAATTTGGGAAAATAAGAAATAAGAGAGACAATTTATTTTTGAACTTATTTTAAATTTTTGAATAATAAGTAGATATGATCCAAGAAGATGGAATGGAAGTCACTTTTTTGTTTTGTTTTTTCTTTTTTGTGGGTTTTTTTTGTGTATTTTTGTAGTTAATTTTTTAAAAAAATTTTTAGGGGTTATTTGGGATTTTAGCATACTTCTTTGCTTCTTCTTTTTTCTTCTTTTTTCTTCACTTCCTCGCTTTCCTATACTTTATTGTCCTCACTCATTGTAATCTATATAAAAATTAATAAAATTCTATTTTTTTTTAAAAAAAAAGAATGTATTTTTGCAATTCTGTCCTGATGATAAATTCCATTGATTCAATGCTATGCCAGGCAAATATGAAAAGGATATTATCACCAGGGGGAAAAACCGTTGTCCCACTTCCATAGAATAGGGTATCACAGTGCAGGTCTCCCCCCATTTGTACAGGCAGTCCCAGAGGTACAAACATCTGACTTACAAATGACTCATAGTTACAAATAGGCGGGGGGGGGGGGAGAACACAACAGGAAGTGAGAGAAATCTACCTCTAGGAAGAGAAATTCACCCCTGAAAGAGTTATCATGGGGAAAACGTATTTCAACTGAAGCTGATTTCCTTAACAAGACACATTTGATAAAATTCAATGATCACTGGGACAGAAAGTGAGATAAGATCTTCTGAGCAGGGGCACAGACAACAACACAAACACCATAGGGATGTTAACCCTTCCCCATGCTATCCAAATCTTTTGTGTGTGTGTGCGTATTTGGAGTTAGACTTAAAAATGTACCTCTTCTGACTAACACACAAGTTCAACTTAAGAACAAACCTACAGAACCTATCATGTTCATAACTGCTTGTGTTATAAACCTGACATGCACATTTTCCCCCATTTTTAGCATCATTTTTTAAAGTACAGAAATTCCATCTTATTTTTGTCAACAAAATCTTCAAGGGAATAGTTTCCCAGCTGCATTTTAATGAAAGCGTTAAATAACGAGATCAAGAGAGTAACATATTATACTGCTTTTTAAAAACAACAACAACAACAAGGTATTAAAGTCATAGGTAATTATAAGGTAAGCACAGAAAGATGTGAACATCAGCTAAAGATGGTGAAGACTGGATTAAGGATTAAGAATTACAAACAGTAAAAGAAAACCAAGAAGAACATCAGAAATCTACCAAAGAACAGGCACAAAGCCTTAAAGAGATAAAAGAAGAGATGAAAGGAATGAAGACAGAGATAGTATTGCTACAAAGTGAAATTAAGAGTATGAAAATAGAAAAGGAAGAACTGAAAAAAACACAAGAAAGCCTAGAAAGAAAGATCAAGATACTACACCTGGAAAAAGAAAGATTAGAAGAAAAACAACTGCACACAGAAATAAAAGACATGGAACACCAATTAAGACTAAGAAACATCCAGGAGGAACAAGGGGAGAACATAAGAGAAAAGGTAAAAGAGATACTGGGAGAACTGATGGAAAAAACAGATCAAGAAATTGAGGAACAAACAGATAGAATATACAGAATTAACACCAACTTCGCAAGAAGAAATAAAACGGCCAGAGACGTGCTAGTCCATTTTATTAAAAAAACACAAAGAGATGAGGTCTTAAAGACCAACAGTAAAAGAACAGTCTTCTACAAAGGCAAGAAGGTGGTAATTCTGAAAGAAATACCAGGAGCCGTCCTAAGCAGAAGGAAAAAATACTCGACACTCGTGGAAGAACTCAAAAGGCAGAAAATCCGCTTCCGTTGGGAAAGGGGAGAAGGTCTGATGGCAACGTACCATGAACAGAAACATTGGATTACAAATGAAGAAGTAGCAAAAGACTTCTTAAAAAGGATCATAAGAGAAAGAGAAAATAAAATGAACTACAACAGAAAGGGAGAGAAAGAAAGAAAAAGAGCGCACCGACTCACCGGAGAAAGAAGACCTAGACAAGGAAAACTACAAAATGGACTTAGGAAAGGCAATAGACTCAACAAATCTAGACAGAGTGGAAGAAGTGATAGAAAGTGAAGGAGAAGAAGACAAAGAAGAAGAGAGAGAAGAAGGAGAAAACCAGGAAGAGAAAGCAGAGGAAGAAAGAAACTAAAAAGGAGTAACACATCTCAAAAGTACCTAACCAACACTGGATCTTTTAAGAATATATTCTAATAATATCAATGGTTTTAACTGTAAAATTAAAAGGAATAAAGTATTTAACAGGATAAAAAAGAAACGGTATCATGTAATTGCTTTTCAAGAAACGCACATTGCCCAGAAACACATAGCCCATTTAGATAACAAAAATCTAGGAAAGACATACTATTCGGCAGCCCCAGATAAAAAGAGAGGAGTAGTGACTTACATTAATAAAGACATTCCATCAAACCAAACATTCAAAGACGAAGAGGGAAGATTCGTAGGGGTAACAATAACAATAAGAGACAAGAGAATTTTATTGTGTAACATATATGCACCCAACGACTCTAAAACAAAATTCGCAGAAAAGCTAAAAACAAAGATTAGCGAACATGAATTTGACCATCTGATCATCATGGGAGATTTTAATGGAGTAATCGACACAACTCAGGATAGAACCAACAACGACCACACAAGAAAAAGAGAAAAGAAAACAAGGGGAGGAACTCTACCAAAATCAATAACGAGTATGATGACGGAGTTGAATCTGGAAGATACATGGAGAAGGAAAAATGAAGGAAAGAAAGACTTCACATACTATTCGGCCAGGCACGAAACATGGTCTAGAATTGATATGGCCTGGATGTCAAAATCCCTAGTTACAGAAGTAGAAGAAGTAAATATCTACCAAGAATGGAATCAGATCATTGCCCAATAGAAATCAAAATAAAATTCGAAGAGAAAAACAGAAGATGGAGATTAGACGATAACCTATTGAGAAGTGAAGAAGACTTGGAAAAGAACAGGAAACTACTAAAAGAATATCTTGAGATAAATGACATCCAAGAAACTCACCTGTTTATAGTATGGGAGGCGAGCAAAGCGGTGATGAGAGGCAATTTCATACAACAAAAAGCAATAAAAAACAAAATTAAAAATAAAAAAGAAAAAGAAATAATGAATAAAATCACCCAAGAGGAAACCAACCTAAAGAATGACCCAAAAAATAAGGAAACTGTAAAAAATTTGACTCGACTACAAAAACAGAGAGAATTTTTAGAACAAGAGGAAAGAGCGAAACAACTGAAATTCCTAAGACAAGATTACTTCGAAAACTCAAATAAACCAGGCAGGTGGCTATCAAACAAATTGAGGAAAAGAAGAGAAACAACATACATAACAAGATTAAAGGAAGGAGACTCGACATATACACAAGGAAAGCAGATAAAACAACAATTCGAATTTTTTTTCCAAAAACTGTACAAAGAAGAAAAAATAGACAAGAATGCAATTTACAAATACTTAGGGGAAAAAAATATATCACACATAACAGAAGAACAAAGAGAAGTGTTGAATAGCGAAATATCCGAAAAAGAAATTAAAAAGGCAATAAATGAATTGAAAAAAGACAAAGCCCCAGGCCCAGATGGCCTAACGGCCTTATATTACAAAACATTTCAAGATGAATTAACTCCCCTGCTCAAGAGAGTGATGAACGAAATTAGAGACAAAAAAGAAATGCCACAAACATGGAGACAAGCCCTTATAACATTAATACATAAAGAAAATACAAACCCAGAGGAAGTCAAGAACTACAGACCCATTTCACTATTAAATTTAGATTATAAACTATTAGGGAACATCATTGCAGAAAGACTAAAAAAAATACTGAGCGAAAGAATTAAAGAAGAACAAGCAGGTTTTTTACCTAGAAGATCACAGGCTGACAATGTTAGAACAATTATAAATCTCATAGAACACTATGGGAACAACATACAAAAGAAGGTAATGTTCCTAGCATTAGACGCCGAAAAAGCCTTCGACAATGTAAATTGGGATTTTATCAAAATTGTAATAAAAGAGATGGATATGGGGCACTATTTCGGAAACATAATTGAAGCAATATATAGTAATCAGGAAGCGAAAATTATAATAAATGGTCAACATTCGGAAACAATACATATCCAAAAAGGAACGAGACAAGGTTGTCCAATATCCCCGCTAATTTTCATTTTGACACTGGAAATCCTACTGGACAGAATAAGGGAAGACAAAGAAATTAAGGGAGCACGAATTCAAGGACACGACTATAAGATAAGAGCGTTTGCGGACGACATTATCGGAATAATAGAGGAACCAAAAAACAACCTAGAAAAATGGCTAAAGACAATTAAGGACTACGGGGAAGTTTCGGGGTTTAAGATCAACTTAGAAAAGACTAAGCAATAACAAAAAACATTACAAAGAAAGAACAGGAAAAAATAGGGAAAGATT